TCCCTCCCACCCTCTTTTTTTGGAGGGATTAAATTCTGGCTTTCCCAATTTCTAGCCCACCATCTGGAAGTTTTCATGAAAGCATAAGAAAAGCTGGACAGGAACAAAGGCATATCCAATCTAGCATTCGGTTTCTCAAGCAGCCAATGATATCCTGGCTGAAAAGCTGTAAGACACGGAAGTCTGACCAAGATCCATTATTCTCTTTGGAAGATCTTTTATTTTTATTTTTTAACAACAGGCATGTTCTTGCTTGTTTGGATTGAATTAGGGCTAGCAGATCCTGTTTGCAAGAATTTGGATGGCCACTAGATGGTAGCAAAGAGATACAGCAACCTCTTTGATGCCATCTAAGGTCGTCTGGATTTTTGCAGCCATCATCATCATAATTAATCATCACCTATGCCTTCAAGTCATTGGTTAAGATGCTTCTGAACACAGTTAGGACTGGGTAATTAGGCACGGCTCAGGGCTCCCAAATTTAAAAATAGGTCTTTTTGCTGCCCTAGAAACAACAAAAAGAGTGTGGGCGGGGGGGGGGAGGATGTTAGTGGCACAGCCTGGACAGGCAGGCAGGCAGGCAGGCAGGCAGGAAGGAAGGAAGGAAGCATGCACGCTGGATATGGTAGGAAGTATCAAGAGAGAGAGCTAAGAGGCACAGAAACAGAAGGGCATGTATTACCACCCAGGGCTTCTGGCCATGAACTCTAAAAAAACCACTCTCATTTGGGATCAGCAATATCCATCAATAGGCCCACTCAGTTAGCAGGTCCTGACAATTTGGAATGCTCCAAAGCCTTATTATGTGAAAGGAAATAACTCTTTTGTTTTCTTCTGCAGAGTTCTGTACATCAAGTGAAAGCTCCCCAAAGTGAGGTAGGCAATCTGCTGATTTACCAGTTGATTTATCAATGATTTTCCATCACATTCTAATCTGGTAGGTAGGATGGATTTTACTGCTGCTTCATCCGTATCTAGGGAGAGCCCAAACAGAATATAAGTTATGGCTTTACAGAGCAATCCTATACATATTCCTTCAGAAGTCCTGTTGAGTTCAATGAGGCTTACTGCCCAGTAAGTAGAGCCAGGAATGCTTTACTTTACAAATCCAGCACTTATTTACAAAATAGACTGACACCAGGTGTGGCTGGGATTCTAGTCAAGACCCAAACATCTTCCTCATCCACTGTAGGCTGGTAGCATGAATGATTGTCAGTTGAATAATATTCAGAATCCAAATTAACAAGGACTTTTTGTAGGGGAATAGAATCAGTTAGGGCATATACCAATGATACCACTCAATCACACATTTTTCTCTTGAGATCAATGAATGAAACTCACGCATGAGACATATGCAGAGTATACATCCCTGCTGCTCCCCAAAAGTACTTAATCTGGTAAACCACTAAACAGGTCAAATCACCTTCTTGGCAGTTCCGGCAACACTCAGAATCACACTAACTGGAAAAAAATATTATTTTGGGAATACAGGGTACACGGTCCCCCGCAGACCAATTCTCTCTCCAGGAAGGGCCGAGCATTCCAGGTGCTCTTGTGCCATGGAACACAAGGCTTCGTTCCATCTTAGCCTCTTCTGCCTTAGCCAAGCTGGTGGGCAGTAGGATGCTTGGTTTGGCACCTACAACCAGTCAGGGTTTAGAAGTTACGTTCTATTTTGCACAGCCTGGGCTGTGAGTTCTGTAAGGGAGAGACTTGCTTTTCCATCCACTGTTTCTCTTTTTCTTAGAGGAGTTAGGTAGGCAAAATGGGTAAACTGACTGGGATTACAAGGATTCCCTTCATACAACCAAGTGGAGTAACTTTGATTCTGTGTATGTCTCACAATGCACTAACACTGCCATCACTGACCGAATTAAACATGTGGGAGCAGGGCCTATGTGTGTGTGTGAGTGTGCACGCGCACGCGCACGTGTGTATTCCTTTGTCTAAGTGGATGTCTCAAGAGGATAGGAAAGGATAAAGAAAAATGGACATCATTACAATAATCTCTCCCTCCAAGTTTTTGAAGACTTAACTGCTGAATCTGTGGGTATTCATTTCTGAAAATGAACTTAATCATCAGTAGTTAATTTGAGATATTAATCTGTGCATCAATCTACTTTCACCACAATTCTAGGTGCTTTCTTCATTCACACTCCACGCATAGGTACTTCAGGGTACTGCTGTGTTCTGTGGAGGTGCGACTCCACATATACTAAACATGGACCTGAGGGCCCTGCCCTGTTTGAATCATTCTTATGGTTGTTTCGGCAGCACTCCACCTAGTTTACAAATGATTGAGAGAACTCTCTTCAGTTTCATGCTGAAGGCTGAATGGATGCTTGGGCCTTTTTTTGACCATCTTTGTGGTTTCTCTCCTCAGCTCATAATTTCCAGCTTCTTTGTGCGCTCAACTATTGTGTCCCGCTATACCTCCACGCGAGTGTGGACTTCCATGAGCAATCCACATCCCGAGGCCAAAGAAGCTGTCTTTGACTTGGATCTTCCCAGTTCTGCCTTCATCTCCAACTTTACCATGTGAGTCTAGGCTAGAGAAAAACCATCTGTATATTCTTTGAATGGAGATGCTGCCACCATCATTCTTTAAAACAACAAAGGCATTAGCCTAGCAGAAAGTATCTGCTTTGAAAGCAGAAGGAGCCAGGTTTTACACCTAACTTCTCAAATTAAATAACCTGGTACCAAATGATAAGGAAGACTCTTTGTCTTACTTGACAACTTTTACCATGCAGAAGAAGGCAATGCTGTATTAGATGAACAAGTAGTAAACCATCTTCATATGTTTAATAGACACAGTCAGGGCCCATTCAGTGGATATTTTTACTTATGTTCTATGCAGAACATAATCTGCAGACAAAATAGTCTCTATTGCAATATTATATACTGTACATTGAAGTGAAATTCCTGCTGTTCTAGTGAATCCTGCATGAACTATTGTGAATTACAGTGAGGAATAAGGGTATCATATCTGGACTGTAAAAAACTCTGATAGATGGAAGCAAAGAGTGAGTGCTATACATATCTTTTTGTGCTATCTAGTGAGGATCCAGAGTTTTGCAGCCCATGCATGGCAGGAATGAGGAATCTCTTGCAAAGAATTATCAGCATTGCCAAAAACTGAAAACGGGGTGGGTGGGTAAGAGGAGCCATGACAGTTGTAGTTGTATAAATAAGCCATCAGTTGATCTGCAGATAGTAAAGCTTACTCTTCACAGCAAGGCAGTGAGCAGTATCGCCTATTACTATCTGCAGATCAAACCAGAATAAAACTTGGCAAATTGAGCAGAAGCCCCCACCCAATGGCCCCGTATGTGAGTAAAATTGAATGGCTTCAAAGGAAATCAGAGTCTGGTGGGTGCAATGTTGTGATGAAAGTTCTGTCTCTCTTATACCTGGATGTGATTTCGCTGCAGGTAAAAAAGGGATGGGCTCCTATTACAATGCTGCGCCTGCAGGTGCTGATCCACTCCATGGGTGCCACTGGTAATGGGCATCCCCGGGAGTGTGATAAGGGGGGGCATGAGACAAAACTGAGATACAAACTCCACTCCTGTGTTTGTGTGTGTAACAACGCAACGCCAGTATAAAAGGGCAGAGCTTGCATTGTAATGTCATGATGCACATCATTTTAGCCTCATGGTGCTTAGGAATGGATTCCTCTGGGCATCATACTGTATGCATAAACAGACTGTTTAAGACACCAGCTCAAAATCATTTTGAATCCTGGAAGGAGCACGGGGTGCACATTTACCTTCATTCATGTGTGTGTGTAGATACATCAAACAGGCTGAGGACAATGTATTCACATGGATACGTCGAGAACTAACAAAAAGCAACAACTAAGAAGAGCAAAGGGTTTTGGTTTCAACCTTCCTCAACTGCTGCAATGGAAAGCAGATACCGGTAAAAATGTGGGTTGCGAGATTATTAGAGCTGTCACTAGGAAATTAGGTGCCATCCTCTGATGAAGACCATGTAGCATTGATGTACTAGTCTGTGGAGCCCCAAAGCTCTCGTGCATCATTCAGTCAGGGTTACAGCTGTGAGACATCTGTACAAGGGACTGTGACCCTCTGACTTAAAATATGTCACAACTGGCTATTTCAGTTTTTGAGTTAATATAGCAAATGTATGATTTCTAAAACGAAATGTGGGCCTTTGATGCTTTTGCCAGATATTAAATGTGACAAATTGGATGCTTGCATTCACGGATATAAATCACTTTTAGAAATCTGCATCTGATATTCTGTGGGATTTAAATTATTCTAGTCACTCTATTCATAAAGTATGCATTATTTACACATGTATGTGTATACCCCCCACCCCAGTCTGTTTATTTTCTTAACACTACTGCTGGTAGCAACAAACTCATGTTTTAGCAAAGCTTTAAGCAAAGCCACTTGAAAAGAAACCCATGTTCCCAGGAGGGAACCTGTGCCCTAAATTTAGACATACTGAGTCTGGAAAGGATTGAAGCCACCATTTCACTTCCCAGATTTCGGCATACAAAAGCTGGATGAAAAGTGAAGGATGTTTGATGTCCTAGACCTTCTGAGGTGGAATAACTTGATCTGAAAGACATCGAGCTGTTTGTAGAGCTGTAGAAAGCAGGGAACCCTACCCAGTGCCCAGGGAAAGCTGGCAAGGACAGCTCCAGCCTCCCTTGGTCAGGTTCTCTATGTGCCATAGTCCCATGACTTCCCTAACCCAGCATGAGATGGGAAGGAGCCAGCCCCCCAACTTCTCATGGAAGTTAATCAAGCCCCTCATTGTAGAGGAAGCTCCCCTGAGTGGACCCCTTCTTTGGGGACAAGGCCTGGCTTGTCTGGCAACCAAAGAAACTTGACGGCAGAAGCCAGTTGGTGCCATTCTTGCCTTTTCTGGGCTCTACCAGCTAGGAACATAGGCACAGTTTGTTCCAGTGGCTGTGGAAAGTTTGTTTTCCTTCACTGCCATGGCAAGCAAGACTGACTCCTAACCACAGTAGATGGATTTGCTGGCAGGAAGAGGGGGGCTGCCAGAACTGGGCTACAAAATCCAGATGACTACGAGGTGCTAAATATCATTCTGTGATCCCAAAATCCATATCCTTAATCCTAACATATGGGGAACTCACTGTCATTTGTTTGATTGCAAAGTAAAAATGCTCCTTAGCAGCTCATTTAAACTCACACATTTGGAGTGCTAAATTTGGGGAAGGGAGAGAGTAACTGGTATACTAGCAGTAAGTCTGCCCTATTATTGCAGATCCTAATCCATGTGACTGCTCTGTACGGACACCCACCTATGTCTCATCATTATAAAAACATGTGCTCCAGCAATGCATTTGGGCTTTGCGGTTGAATCTTGAAGAGATCCAGGAACATGCCGTGAAACTCATTTCCCCTGGTTCCAAAATAACCCATCCTACCTTTGCTTCCTCTTCCAAGCTGAAATCTGAAATGGCATCACCTCTCCACTCTTTTCAACCACTATAGACCAGAGCTGATCCCTGAGGCTGAAAATGGATGACAGGTGTCTGGCCCCACTGAGACTTGGCACACTTCCCCTCTCCCCAAAGAGGGGCATTTTTAAGAAACTGGAGCAAGCAAGAGGCAGAAGGCAATGGCCACCTGGACATCCTGCCTGTAGCTATTGCTAAAATTATTCCTTGTGATGTTCTCTGTGCTCATAGCGGTATCCCAGAGGAGATTTGATGGCAGGAGATGTTTTTTGTTCTCTTCCAATGCACTAGAACCATTAATGAGAAGATCTATGTGGCTGAAGTGAAGGAGAAGCATCAAGCTAAGAAGATGTATGATGAAGCCCGCAGGCAGGGAAGGACAGCAGCTCATGTTGGCACCAAGTAAGAGCCCCCTGAAGAATTCTGCCTCTCCTTGTCTCAGACCCTCCTCCAAAGACAGCCACTGGGATGGGGTGGAGGGAAAATTCTACATGCATGGGATGAAGATGAGCAGATTTGTCACAAGCAGAGGGGTGGTATGAAATAGGTTGCTCTGCCAGCTGACAAACAGCATCACACTGAACAAAATGTTTCACTATTTCCCAGGGATCGAGAAATAGAAAAATTCAGGGTGTCCACCAATGTGGAAGCAGGAGGAAAGGTGGCCTTTGAGCTGACTTATGAGGAGCTGCTTCAGCGACATTTGGGGAAGTATCAGCATGCTGTCAGCATCCGGCCCCAGCAGGTGGTGAGGAACCTCACTGTGGAAGTGAGCATCTCTGAGAGAACTGGCATCAACTATGTCCAAGTCTTACCCCTCCGCACAAGTCGATTGATGACCAATACTCTTCAAGGTATGGGTTCATCTTTCTCCTGTCTCAGCTCTCAGATAAGTGGAGGTGTGGTCCAGCATCACAAAGAAATATATTTTGTTTCACAGTTTCACAGTTGGTGATCCCAAAAGTTTCACAGTTGGTGATTCCCCAAAAGCTAATCAGCTTTGGACTTGGACCACCAGGAAAATCCCAGGCTTATGGGCTAAACTGAGAAAAGTTAAGAAGTCATATTGGAGAAGGAAAAGAATGGCAAACTATGTCTGTATTATTGCAGAGAAAATTACATGGGATTGTCCATCATGTAGTCATCAGGAGTTGAGCTCACTCATGGGAGTGACATTAGCTTCAGGTTTCAGTGATGCTGCTGTGGCTCAGTGCAGCCCCTCCTCACACAGATACCTGCCCGAGTTTAGATAGAGATTTGGTCACCCACAGGGTTGTAAACCCTCCTAACCCCATTCATAATAATTGTAACACTCAAATTAGTTGCAGCATTTGAACCTCATCTGTGTTGCTTAAACTTTTACTTCCCCAGATTCACATTTGGAAGGATCTCAGGAAGTAAAAAGTCATCCCTGAGAGTCTACATTCTGCTCAAGTGTCATGACGAAGGGGAGTGCCTGTAATCCTGGGTACATTCTATACATTCCAAGACTTGGGGAGTCATCCACACATGCTTGCCTCTTGCTTGATTTCTCTCTTGATTTAGTGAGTAGCTGTAGAAGATCTGAAGTGACTTGAGTGAAAGGCCTTGAAATGAAATTAAACAAAGGAGGGCAATTCACCTCTACACTGATGAATTCCTGCATGTCTGAGGCAATCCTTGACCCCACTAATAAATCTGCTGTTCTATCTTCTCAGGTGAAGCTGATGTGCCACCATCAACTCGAGTCGAGAAAGGAAGACACTGTGCTTGGATTGTGTTCACCCCAACCCCCCAAGAACAGGAAGCCTTCTCCAGCTCAGGAATCATGGGTGATTTTGTGGTGCAATATGACGTGGCCATGCCAGATGTTGCAGGCGATGTGCAGGTTAGGGGAGAGGCTACACAATTATATAACCAAGAATAAAAGGAACAGTCTGGGTATCAAGATTGTCTTAAAAAGGGGAAGCAAGACAGGATGACACAGAGCTATCCAAGCAGACTGTTGTGGGAACATAAGAACTGCCCCCCTGGAGCAAACTCTGGGTCCATTTAGGCCAGTGTTCCAGAATCAGATACTCCTGGAAGCTCAGAGGTGGGCAGAATAAACAAGTTTTCTTCCAATAAAAGAGGAACTCTGCAATCTGTAGAAATTAGGCAAATACATCATAAATCTGGACAGAGAATCTGAGAGTTGCATGTAGACTTTGAGACTCTTGTTTGTATCCCTGATGCTCACCAGCATCAAGCCACTGAACTTTGGCAGCAAATCACTGAATATTGGTGCTGTGATTTCCCACCAAATGGTAGCAGACAAGTTATGGAAGACAGTTCCTCCCCCATCAAAAAATACAGAGGGCATGCCCACTTGCATGACATCATCACAGTTTCACTCCAGATACTGTTGTTTTCTTTTAAAGAGTAGCCCCTAATGGCAAAAAAAATTATCTGCAAATCTGCATGATTTCTCTTTATGTTGGTAAATATATCGTTTGGACAAAGTAATTATGCAGGGCTATATATCGTGTTCAGTTGCTTCTCTACCCTTGAGAATTTAACAACAGATACTAGCCATGGAAAGCAAAGTGAGATACCAAAGCCATTGAATGCCTCAGCCCTGCCCCCCTTTTCTTTTTGGCAACGTTCCTGCAGGATCAAAGGAGAGGCGAAGAAAGGACCATACAAAAGTTAGCTGTAAGGATTAGAAACCTGATTTCCATTTTTTTTCATTGATGACATTCTTGAAGGGCTCCACTGGATGCCAAAGTCTGTAGCTGTATATGTACAAGTGCACATCTGCAACTGTGGACATTCAGAGTGAGTATTGTGGCTAATACTGAACTGCAAGTAAGGAAATCCACAGTTCAGTTGTTGCTTGGATAGCAATGAGAACGATGCTGAAGACGCACCAAAGAGATCTGAGGGGCATGTGTAGATATATCAAAGAGAAAGACTAGTCAAATAAATGTACCACGATGAACGGAAAGATGTGTAGTGTAGAAATGGATGTTTGGCTTGAGTGAATGGGCTGTATGAATTTATAGCCAAATTTGGGTTGACAAAAAAATAGTATGACCATTTATATCAGCTTTCTCCACCCTGGTGCTTCCAATTCCTGTAACCTCCAAAGCATCAGGAGGACCTGAGGTTAGATTAAGTTGGTTTATGCACTTTGCCTAATCTATTGGCCAAAGATGTTGCTTTGGTTCAGCAAACCCTGGCTGTCCTCTCCACTGCCACCCCACCATCAATGACATCCTTCCCCATCATTTCTGCAATCTGGCTCCTTTTTCTTTCTTTCTCAGATCTACAGTGGCTACTTTGTTCATTACTTTGCCCCGAGGGGGATGCCCCTTGTGCAGAAGGATGTGGTATTTGTTATTGACATCAGTGGCTCCATGTATGGCACCAAGCTGAAACAGGTGAGCAATACCAAGTTGCAGAGATGCTCATAGGCTGGCAAACGAAGGATGGGGAGAGAACAGAGAGAGAATTACAGGGAGAGAGACGATACAGCTGGTCCTCGAGTTACAACCACTCGTTCAGCGACCATTCAACTTACAACAGTGCTGACCGAGGGTGACATACAACCAGTTCTCAGAGTTCCGGCTGTTGCAGTATCCCCGTGGTCACGGGATTGCAATTTCCAATGTTCCCTGCCAGCTTCCCACAAGCGAAGTCAATGGGGAAGCCAGCAGAAAGTAGGAAGTCACGGTCATGTGAGGTCTTCTCTTAATGACCCACATGGTCCTCGCTTAACGACGGCAACTGGGACTGCCGGAACTGCTGGCACTAAGTGGTGTGGTCACGTGATGTCGCACATTACAACCACATCTCTTAGCAATGGCAATTCTGGTCCCAATAGCCATTGTAACTCAAGGACTACCTGTATTGCCCTAGTTCAGAGGAAGAGCACATTTCCCTTATCTCCTTCTGTTTTTTAACATACGTTTTGATATTTATACGGTAGAATTTATTTCTAGCATTTATTTCTAATGTTTTTCTCCACTTGGGGCTTGCAGGGTTTTATTATAAGACTGTTGCCATCTTTGGGACTTATTTCTGAAAGGGAGAAATGGATTCAGTTTTTTTGTGTAAAAACTGTTACGCAGATCCTACTCCCTTTTAGAACAAAAAAATCCAAGGGTTTCGATATTTATTGAAGCTTCAGTTTCCTTAGCTTACCTTGGAAGGAGGGCATGGGGAGCAAGTATTGGATGATAAATGGTATAATAAAGCGGAAGAGGAGAAATTAATCTGGGTCTAAAAAATGCAAGTTGAAAGAGAGGAGCAACAACATTGAGGAATAATGAAATCATTCAAATAATTAGCATGCATACAGACATACTGGCATATCCATATCCATCCATACATGCCCACCACGCTTTCCCATTTTCATCCCAAATCATTTCATCACTACTATTTGTAATTCCATCCACTCTGCTGGAGTCTCCTTATTTAGCTCCCTTCATCAGCTTTCCAAACATTTTTTTTTATTTCCATCAAAATCACTCTGGTAGTCTAGACCTTCTCTATTTCACTAAGAATCAGTCTTGATTGACCAAAGCCATGATGTGCAGCGGGGATCAATATCTATGGTTCCATCTGGCGATGACCATGGTGTATGGAAGACTGTAACATGTAAGAGAAGTAAATGGTGAAGAACATGAATTAACACATGAAATGAAAGAAAGAAAACTAGATATATTACATGTTTATAAAGCTAGGAGCAAGGAAAAGGATCTGAATGAAGGTGCTCTGATCTTGAGGAATGGAGGTAGATGCGTACATTCAGGGATGTGGAGGTGTAAGTTTAAATATGAATGAAACACTAAAATGTATGTCAGAAAGTATAAATTATCATCATCTGGCTTGTTATGGATATGGATTGATGCCAGTTGTATATTAAGCTTCAGTGAATGGTGATAATGGAAAAATGTTTATGCAATGTGCTGAATGAGTGCAATCCAGGTTTCACAGAAGTGTGTGGAATTATGATAACGGGAATTAAGAAAAAGGATTCTTGGTGGAAAAATGAAATGAAAGAGGCCATTGAAGAGAAGGTGTAGACTAGAGTACCAGAATGCTACATTCAGCATTCCTGCCAAGGACAAAGACCATGCTGGTCAGATGATGCAAGCTGCAGCTCACAAAAGCTTATGCTTTTTAATGATACTTGTTAGAAAAGTGCTACCATTCTGACCAGTCAGTTTGGGCACATTTTGGCCAATATGCCCTAAGTGCAATCAGAGTCCAGTTTTATCCCAAGGATGCTCATGCTATTTTATGCAAAGTACAATCTCTAATCTAGAGGCTGCTTTGCAACCCAACACACTTGTCCACCATCCACTACTGGGGAAATATATCCAATATCAAGACTCAGGACTGATGCAGAACATTCTCAGGAAGCTTAGATAAGCTATGTTAATATACACTGGTTGGAATAATAGCATATGTTTTGTGAACATCTAAATTAAAAGTGACTGAAGAATGCAAATTATAATTTGCTGAATACAAATACCAGGCATCAATTTACCTAATTCAAAGGATAGATTCTTGCTAATAAGATCATCCACCTCTAATTTCCTCGGTTCCACAGATCAAGAAAGCCATGCATGTCATACTAAGCGACCTTCACCAAGATGATCATTTCAACATTGTTACTTTCTCTGACGCGGTGAATGTGTGGAAGCCAAGTCAATCCATCCAAGCTACTTCGCAAAATATCCGGAGGGCCAAAGATTATGTCAGCAAGATGGAAGCAGATGGATGTAAGTGCTGGCCTGGAGAACTGTGAGAGTGAGGGTAGGAAAGAGACACAGGAGCCATCCTAAAAGTAGTTGCAAGAACAGCCATAACTTCCTGTGGAAACATCAAGTTTTTCCAACCTTGAGTCCATAAACAAAGGTTGCTGCTGAAAAGCCTTTTCTAAAGCCCAGTTGTTCTCCTGGAAGATCAAACCCAGGAAATCTTGCTTACAGCTACCTGGATCAGTCCATTTATTTAGTCTAGGGAGGTGGGGGGAAGACCTGTGTCTCTCTAGATATTGCTAAGTTATAATTCCTACTGGCTGTTCCTATCAGCCTGATCAATAATGAGACTGCCTGGTGGTTGCAGTTCAAACATATCTGAAGAAACACAAATTTCCCATACTTTTTTGGCCCAAACCTTTTTTCTGAGGTGTCTTTGTTTCTGATTCTCTGACTTTCCGCTCCCTAGGGACTGACATCAATGCAGCATTGCTTGCAGCTGCCTCCATCTTCAATCAGAGTTCTCCAGTGGAGGGAAAGGTGGAGAAGGAGCCAAGAATCCCACTGATCATCTTCCTGACAGATGGCGAACCCACCTCAGGAGTGACAGCTGGCAGTCGCATTCTGTCCAATGCTCAGCAGGCTCTTAAGGGTACCATCTCACTCTTCGGTCTGGCCTTTGGAGATGATGCTGACTATGGACTGCTGAGGCGACTCTCACTAGAGAACCGTGGGGTGGCCCGGCGTATCTACGAGGATGCTGATGCCACTTTGCAGCTCAAGGGTTTCTATGATGAAATTGCCAGCCCCCTGCTCTATGATGTGGAGCTGTCCTATCTTGATGGGGTTGCACAGGACCTCACTCAGAACCTCTTCCCCAACTACTTCCAGGGTTCTGAGCTTGTTGTGGTTGGCCGAGTGAAGCCAGGAGCATCAAAGCTGCAAGTACGCACAAGAGGGCAAGGCCAGGAAGGCCCACTGAACCTGGAAAATGACATTTCAACCAATACTACTGAAACTGCTCCATTTGGCTGCCTTGGGGAGATCAACAAGATTGGTCACTTTGTACAAAGGCTCTGGGCCTACTTCACCATTCAGGACCTGCTACAAGCCCGGTTCCGAGCCAATGACACAGCTGCCCGGCGTCTCTTGACAGAAAAAGCTACCAATTTGTCAATCAAGTACAACTTTGTCACCCCTGTCACCTCCCTGGTAGTAGTGAGGCCAGAAGAGGCCAGAGACAGAAACCGGCCTGTGAAAACCACCATCCCTCCAGGGGTGACTAGAGCATTAAAAGCCTCTTCTCAAGCATTGGCCGTACCTGTTTTGCCAAGACTTTCTAAGACAGCTAAATCTGTTCTTGGAATTACTGATGCTCCTGCAGTAACAAAAGCTTTCAAGGGAACGATGGGGACAGGAACTGTTCCAGTGACAGCACCTAGACTCTTTAAAGCAACCAGAGCCACATCTTCACCAGTTACGACTATGTCCACCATCATCACTCCAACTATCTATCCCACCATAGTACCTACTGCCACTGGCCACCCCAAAGCAGCCAAAGTCACAATGATTCGGGGGAGAACAACCATCTCTTTGACTCCTGTAGCAATTCATAGATCTACTAAACCTCCGAGAGCTACCACCTCCCTTAGATCAACCAGGTCACCTGTAATCCTCCCTAAGATCAGTCCCACCAGAGCAGCAAGACTCAAACTCACTGTTCAGCCACACCCTGCACTGGAGACCAGAGGAACAGCCATAACAAGGGTTATGGCAGGGGTCCCCAGCACTGTGGCCAAGGTACCTACTGCTTTGTACCCTTCGGGCAGCCCAAAGATCCTGGAGAGCAACTCCAACCATTGGGAGCAGCCCAAGATGACCCCAAGGCCAGTCACTGAGCACCAGCCACATACAAACAGGCAAGTGAGTACTGCCAGGGTGGAGACCGGGAAACTCCCCAGGAGCAAGACAGCTACCGAGGATGGGATAACCTCAGAGTTGCACATTGAGAGGCCCCAGGAGAACAGCACTGTCTCTTGGGGCACAGGACCGGGAGCCACCTCCCTCATGACTCGGGCAGCACAATTAGAGGGAGCCAGACAGATTCCTGGCAGCTCCACACCTGCCTCTGACATCAACCTCCTCCTGCTGCCTGGAGAGTCTGAATTACACTCAACCACCATCCGGAACACAGAATACGTGGAGTCCTTGAACCCTCCAGCTGTATATAGCTTTTTGATACCCAAGGGACATGGAGGTAGGTGCAAGGATGGGGCAGCGCTTGGGGGTTTGGGCTTCCCCCTCCTAGGCCACATAGGTGCCCTCCTCTCTCTTATTTACATCTGAAGAGGGTGGTCTAACTGCATGGGTTTTTAATCCATCTCTGCTGCCGCCGCCGCCGCCGACGCTGATCTCCCAAGCAACGGGAGAACTGCAACAAGGGTGGGTTGTGCCTAGCAGATGAAAAACTCATCTTGGTTATCAATCCGTAATTCTGACAAATCTCCAGTTCTGCTAGCCGCGTGGGTAGCCTAATTTATGCCCCGTTTCGCTTCTGTTGTGGTGCTCCAGCCCTACCGCCTTATTCCCAAGATTGACTGCCCCCTCCTCTCCCTTCGCATTTATCTCTGTATCCTATACTCCCAGCCATACATGCAATGCTCTGGAATTGCTCTAGATCCTCTTTGGTGATGGGATGTTGTTTTATCTATGCGTTCAACTCTTGTTTGTCTCCTTCTCAGAAAGCTTGGATTATGGAGACTACCCAGGTAATTCTTCCATCACTTTGGGGGGCGGGGGGTAGCCTAGTGAGCTCATCTTTTTTCCTATGTTTAAAGACCTTCCCAGATGCCCATCTTGGAGAGCAAATTCATTTATTAAGCCCACTTTAACCCACACATATGTTGCAATGTACGGTGTGTGTTCCAGTTCAGGTTTCTGGCTTGTTCCAATCCCCTCCCCTGTGGTTTTCCATTCCCTTCATGCAAAGAGTCAGCATTGAGTATTATCAATCATAAGATGATTAGAAGTGCACTACTAGTTCCGGCCACATTCTTAACTGTGTGATATTATATTGTCTCTCCTCCTTAGAATGTTGTCTTCTGCTCCTCTCCAAAGACTTTATCTATTTTTGTAGACTCTGGGATTCCCCTGAGCCTACTGATCCCAACCATGTGCACGGATGATGCCATTTTAGCTACACAAGGGACCCACATCTAGAGAATGAGTTTAACAAAGAGACCACCACTGGTCCATTCCATATTCTTAGGGGTGGAAATGCCTGATTGTTCAGTGACTCATTTAATGAAACACCCTTTGCCCAAAAGAAGAAACAAATCGCTGAAAAACAAAGGACAAATGAGAACATGGATTTGCATAAAATGTACATATACTAATCTATATGTAGACATGGAAATGTTAAAATCCTTGCTGCATGAAATAGAAATCCATCTCTCTGTATTTTTACATCAGGCATAAAGTGTTAATCCTTCCAAGAAAGCAGGAGTTGGAAACTGAATCTTATCCAAGGGCTGGATTCTCTCCACCCAATTTCTGATCAGTCACAACTCCCAGCAGCCTTACTCAGCCTGATCAGTGCTGTCAACATCTGGTGACATTATCAACATCTGGAGGGCCAAATTCTGTGTACCCAGACTTAAGGATAGGGCTTTGGAGAAGAGGCCTTCCCTTTCCTTCAAAGCCCTATCCACCCTCAGTCCTTCCTCCTTCAAGGTGTATGGGACTGAATGCTCCTCCCATTCTTTGGAGAAAACACTTTATGGAGGATGGGACATCTTAACACTCAGTTCAGGGAGGAGTAGGGAACATGCACCAACATTTTCATTGTAAAGCATTCAGAAGACGGGGAGAATCCCAGGAAGGGATCAAGGCCCTGCAGTCCATGTATGGCTGGCTCATGAGCTGCAGCCAGTCCATAGGTCAGGAGGGTCTCCCCTTTTGAATTATGTCTTGAAAAAGAGAGAGAAAGAGGGTGTCCTCTGTAAAGTAAGACTCATGGTCATCCAAGATGGGAGACTGGGTGTATTGGCAGTCCCGTTCAAGCTATGGTTTTGTTAGTTAAAAAAGTAAATATGGTATGTAATTGAAATGGACAGTAGTAGTTTATGCTGAAGGGGATGCAAGTTCTCTTTGCTAGCCACTATTGCTATGAAACTCTGAAGTTGCTCAAGATAAATTGAAAACAAGGCATACTTGGCTAATTCTTTAAACCGAATCAAATTTAGCATTCAAAGCAGGCAGAATTTGTGGCATGGCCAATTAGAGTTGGTGTCTTTCGAAGAGCACCGTGAATAAGCAAGCACTGGCTATGCATCAGTGACTCTCTTGAGTTCAATGGATCAAAGATCCATGCAATGAAGTAGCGAAAGGAAGTTGGGGCAAGTCTGAAAATACTCTGAAAATTAACTTGTTTTCTTACAGATTTCTTTGAAGAATCAGACAGTGAATCAGGTACTTTCCTGGACAATCAGCACTTGTCAGACAATTCCCTAGTGGGTGAAGTGGGGAAGGTTTGCATTTTTAGAAGCATGAAGGAAGGGAACACGTGCAGTGCATGGCTTCTATCCCCTTTACCTGGAGTGAAGCATCTTTATTTCCTTCCTCATGTGCTTGTCTGTATGTGTGTGTGCTGGGAAGCAGCGTATGTGTTCTGCTCTGAATCATGTGACCAGGAGGAGGGCGCTTAGAATAGAGCAGTCAGCCTCATTCCAGTCCATTGCATACCTGCTTTTCCCACAGGGATGCACTGGAGAAAAACTTCTGGATTTTTTTGGGGTGGTGGTGGAGGGGAGTCCTCAGCCAGATCCAGCCGAGTTTTGAAGTTAATGCTTGTTTTGTCAGCTTATTCCCCCCCCCATGCCAATTTTGATTCCATTCTGTCGTTTTCAAAGAGCTATCCTGTTGATAGACCACAGTCCTGAGCCCTTTACATAATTTATTTCCAACATGTTTCCAACATGTTAGACTGGAAAAAAAATGAAAAGTCATACCCCTGTAAGCAAATAAGTCAATGCATATTATTTTTTTTGTGTGTCAGTCTCCCTGGTTCCTTTGTTAAGATTCACTGGATTCTCCTAGATGGCTTTTCAATGTATACAACATATTGGGACTAGAGGAGAGGGGGGGAGAGGGAGAGGGAGAGAGACTGATTGATTGGTGGGTGATGGAATGAGACTTGGTATATGCATAAGCTGAAAGATTTCTCCAATGCCCAGTGGATTTCATCTTTATCTCATTACAGACTCCTTGGGAATGTCACCCAACACTGGCCTCTTCACTTTCTCCTCTTGGGGTAACAACCACCCATTCCTAGCTATGTAGAATTCACAGGGCCCCCATTTTTAAAATGTCTTGTTAGTTGACACCTTTTGCTTCTTATTTGCAGTGGATGGGGACCCTCACTTTGTAATAAAGTTGCCCCATTCACTGGGGAATCTCTGCTTCACCCTGGATGGACGCTCAGGAGATATCCTGCGGCTGGTGAGAGACCCTGCCACAGGTAAGAGCTGTGATTAGAACCTGTCCCAAGCAATCCCTGAAGGCTAAAGGTGAAGACAGATGGGACTGTAAGCTTGTTTTCAAGAATATTGGCATCTCAGGTCAGGTACTTGTGACCATGTGCAGAATCCTTATCCCCAAGCCAGACAACTACAAACAAAACTACACAGTGTGAAGAGTATCAACCTCCGTTTAAAAGGACCAAGTGCTTTTGAGCATTACTCCTGTCTAAAATGAAGCAGTTTTAAATATTTTTTTAATGATAGGCAGAGGTAAATATGGCAGTTGGGATGAAGGCACCTCTAGGAGAAGGAGGCAGCTTTTGAGACAGGAGAGACAGAGAGAGGACGTTCAGCAGGCTGGGTTGAAGAACAGCAACTGTGGATTTAGGTTCCAGGGGTCTGCTTCCATTCCGTTGAGGGGACAAGGGGGGAAGGAAGAGACTGATTGTTGCCTTTCTTTGCCTTCAGGTTTGTCAGTTAATGGGCACCTAATGGGGGCCCCTTCAAGGCCAGGCCACGAAGAACGTCCCCGCACCTATTTGGATGTCATCACCATAGTAGTGGAGCACCCACATGCCAGCTATGTGGTTAATGTAACCCAGAAGGGTGTGACACTATATGGCGAGGAAGTGCTGGTCCTTCCCTTAGCTCAGCGGGCCACAATCTACAAGCCCCCTCTGGCCATTTCCATGTGGCCTGAGGCCAATATCACTGTCCAGATTGGGTCCATGATTGAATTCCTTGTTCTGCTGCACCACTATAGTCATCCCACCATCCTGCAGTTGGACCATCTCGGCTTCTATATTGTGAAGGGCCAAGGCCTATCAGCATCAGCAGGCGGCTTGCTAGGTGAGCTGTTTTTACGAAGAGGGTGACTAATATGTTTTCTAGCCCCAAGTCCACACCCACTTCCATCTATTTATGTTCTGCCCTGGGTTCCCCTTGCCACTTTCCAGACTAGATGTAATGCGTCCTTAAGAATCACAAGTGACTCTAAAAAACAAGACACCAACCAGCCCTACATGTTAAAAATACAGGCCATGCTTTGCTTCCCAGTGAGAGCTGACAACTCACTGATGATAGTCACAACTCTAGTGACACACTGGCTGGGAGCTCTGGGTACTGTAGTCCCAACACATCTCCAGATCTCCAGGAGGGGGAGGGCTGTCTTAGAAAGTTCAAATAAGAGACAAATGACCTGTGACTCCTATGTTAAATTAAACAGAGCAGCAGCAGCAGCAGCAAGGAATACAGATTAGATTAGGACTATGGCAAGGGAGATTTATTCTTCTTGTCCCCATCTTTCTTTGGCAAAATAACTTTTTGCAACTCCGTTTTGCTCTTTAGCTTGCCCAAATAGATGATTTGCAATAGAAGTTAATACAGGAGAAAAAGGCCCAAATCAGCTCTCTCATCATAGCTACAGCTGGGTAGACAATTATATTCAGAACCAGATCCTGACATCTTGATAAGAATCTTACCCTTTTTTCAAAATCTCTCCACTTTTTCCTGCAGTGTAAGGTTAAGCCAAGGGCTTTGCCATTTCTACTTCCACTGAGACCAGCAGAAACTGCTGTTTCAGTGCCAGGCTCTCTGAAGGAGGGCCCATTATACAATGGCCTTAATTAGATACGAACACACTGTTGAAGTAGGATTCCCATCGCTCATAGTCACTGAAGCAGCACTCCAACCCGGCAGGAAGGCAGGTACGCATGTATGTGTGGACACACACACACACATGCACACAAATACACACACACACACAT